GAGCACTTGCCAAACAGTGAGTTAAGAGCATGAGAAATTATACCCTCAATTTTAAGAGAGCCCTGAATACTATGTTTGCAACCAGCTTTCAAGCAAAACCCTGGCAGTCCAAGCCAATTTTTTAAACATCAGATTTATGGGGCAGAAATCCTAACAAAAAATGCCAAGCCTACCCGTTGGTCACTGCTACCACACTGCCACCTCCTGTCTTATGACTCCAGGAGTTTGAATCAGAGGCAAGAGTCGATAAAAGAAACTCAGCTAAGAATAGCGCAGCCTCTCCCCCTCCTCTCAGACCAAACCAACCACCGGAGTTACTCAATGGATAATTCATACCGTTCAGAAATATTACTGCTAGAAAAGTTGTTGTCTTAATGCTGCTAAAGACGATTACAATGGAGTTGCCTTAAGTATATGTATCAAGGTGGCTCGAGAGCTTCACTTTCATACAAAATGCCAGACCTATAAGGTAACTGCAGTGATGTGGCTCATAAAAGAATTTCACAGGATGGCACAGATCATTTCCCTCTTGCTGACGGTGTGAAAGAGGTGCCCGTGCAAAAGCAACTGAGCTACCACCAGGTTACAGGCAAGAAATACAAGTCAAGTTTCTTACAGGGGAAACCTCGGAGCTCTGCAATTCCAGAAGATATGCTTAAGTCTTAGCTGGTAATTCATTTCCCTCCAGCAAAATGGCAAATCGGAGCAAACTATGCCCCTTGTTAGTTTATTAATGACATTTGGCAGGAACAGATCATGTAAGTGATCTCACAAGTCCAAAGGAAAGTCACAAACACAAACCAAGATGCTCAATTCCCACTGGCTCCAGGCACATGTCATGCTTCTCTTACATCTTCCTTGTTACTGTGGATAGCCACACACAGCACTTCAACATTTTTTTTTTTTGTATAAATTCCAATAAGGCCAAAGTACGAAATCTTTTAAACGCTTACAAACTGTTTTGAGAAAACAGGTTGATATCAAGAAAAATGTCTTTGGCTACCACCACTTAAGCAGCCATGCATTACTGATCTTAAACTGAGTGCTCCAAAGACAGCCCTGCTTCTTTACCAAAAGTTTCCTACATGTGTGAGAAATCTCCCTGATTCACAAGATTCACCTGTACCAGTCTGCTAAGCAAGAAGCAGCATTGCCATCCACACCTATGTTTAAATGGTCAGCATTAAAAACAGCTTTTGTTGTCCTGAAACAACAGGGTCATATGCCCTGGCTAGTGGGCACATGGCTGGTCACAGCATCAACCTATTCTATACTGAACAGCTATTAAAATGAAGCACTAGTTGCCCTAACTGGTTTGGCTCAGTGGATAGAGCATCTGCTTGCGGACTTAAGGGTCCCAGGTTCAATTCCAGTCAAAGGCATGTACCTCGGTTGCAGGCACATACCCAGTAGGGGGTGTGCAGGAGGCAGCTGATTGATGTTTCTCTCTCATTGATGTTTCTAATTCTCTATCCCTCTCTGTAAAAAATCAATAAAATATATATTTTTTAAAAAAATGAAGCACTAGCTTTTAAATAGCCAGTTAAAGTAAGATACACTTAAAACCCCAGTAATTTTTATACATGCTCTGTCTATCCAATTTACATGTTAAGCACTAGATTCTAAAATGCAAATGAGTTGTTCATTTATTTTTAAGGAAACAAGACAAAAGAGATTTTGAGCTTAGGCACCACAGTCTGTCTTAACGAATTCTGCCTGAAAAAAAAAAAAATATTAACACTATAATATCCTACTATTTTTGCTCCTGTGTTCAAATATATATTTGGTTACATATTCTGATCAGTATGTCCTAACAGCTAAACCATGAGGACGTTTAAGCTATAAAACTCTGAAAATATTTTAAAATTTTCATAATTTAAAAAAGTAATGGAAAATGAAGTAAAACCACCACTCTCTCAGTTCCCCAGTGTCAGCGACTTTCCTGGTCTCTCTCCCATGCCCAATAGCCCACAATATAACAACAACAAAATCAGTGCTATTTACATAGGGGCACACACAAGGTCCCACAAAGATACCAGCGCTCTTCCCAACCAAACTCAGCTACTCTCCCAAAGTCCCAACGATTTTCACACCCACCCTTAACTTAAACTTTACCCCCAGGTGGGAGGGGGGTGGTTAAGCTTATGCCTCAGAGTGAAGCCAAGTCTTCATGTGCTGTATCTTTTATATTCGGAACAGAAAGTGCAACACGATCACCAATATTCAGTGCAATCCTCTTCATTCTGGACGGAGGGAACCTCAAGCTCTGTGAAGTGCTGCTATAATCTTCCCCAATGGAGGGGGGGTATCTGAATGCAGATAAGCAACATTCCTTCCACATTCCCTTGAGACTTCGGTAATCAGGAGCTAAGCTTGGTCTGAAACAAATTCAACAATACCCCTTCCTGAAAGGGTCCCCGCCCAGCTCTGCTCCCAGTCAGAGGTAGGCCAGGCTGCCAAGCACCAAATCACCTCCTAGGCCTGCTCCCCTGTTTTAGTCGCTGCAAGCCCATTCATCCATCTCAGAGTGCTGCCATAAGCATTCTTCAGCACAGAGCTCCCGACATGCCTTGCACAGCAGGTATAAAGGTCACTGCAGCATATGTGGGTGTGCCTGCCTCAGATGCCTACATGATGATGGGATGGAATGCAATGACTGCTAAGCACAAAGAACTCCACCCAGAAGTCCAGCAGGCTCACTTGGCAAGGATTGGTCTGTGGCATTCAACCCTCTGTCACCAGTACCACCTCTTGACCTGCTGTAGGTGCTGGTCATGTGGATCACCAGGGTTCCTTCTTCTGCCCTCTCCAAAGCCCATTCAAATAAGGGAAACCGCATCACATCTCCAAGGTTCCGTTAAAACAAAATTGTAATATGAATTTCCAGAACATTTCTCTAAGAAAATCCCAAAAAAGAAAGCTCTACTTTTGTTTTTAGCCATTTCAATATAAACAAAGGAGTTACTTGATTATTCTCTAAATGAGTAAAAAGTTGTCTCCAATACAGCTATTTGTCTTGCTAGTAAATTAGTATCATTTAAAGTCCTGAGCAGTTTAATTTAATCTACATTGTTCATAAAATGAAGCTTCCATTGACAAATACTTGCTGCCACTGGTAACATTATACCTTATGTGCTTTCCTAAAGAGGAACCTGCTCATTATAAAGTAACAAGTAACTAAGTTATGTTTTTAGGTTGAGCAAAGCCTTGATGAATAAAAGAGGCAGTTCTTACCAGATGTTTTAAGTTTAATTCCCTACACATGGGGAGAAATTAACACCAGGTTGGAAAGGAAAATCAGCAGAGTAAGATAAAGTAACTGGCATTTGCGTTAAGGTCAATGAATTGTATCTGAGAAACACAAGACACTTAATGTTTACATTTAGGAACTCTCAAATGTTAAAATGCCAATCCTTCAACAGAACTATTGCTTTTTTTAATTTATTCAATATTTAAAGAAAATTAAGACACATTGGCTAAACACAAAACCAATTAGAATTTGCAGAAATGTGCTTACATTCCCCCGCCCCCAGGTAAACAATTCAGACTATGCCTTTAAACTTCTTTTTAAGGAGATATGACTTCGTGCAGAATTTTTCAATTCCTACGAACCTGAGATCCGTTTAGATACTTTCCATTATACATTCTATTATTTTAGTAAAATTTTTTTTACAGAATTCCATCCTATTATATGAAATTATTTGACCCCCTACAGAAATTCCCAACTAGAACTAAATCTACCCGGTCACACAAACCTCTTTTCAACTATCCTAATGAAAATTAAGTACACGAACAAGAGAAATCCACAAAAATCCAAACCCACTTGCTAACAAAAAGACGATTTGTGAAAATGCTTTACCTCGAAGAGAACTCAATCTAGAAACAGGCACACAGTGACATTTTATGCAGCCCTCTCTCTCTCTGCACAGCAACAGGGAAGTACACAGCAAACCCTCCTGCCCTCTAGCACCCACACTATCACCAATGCCTAACCGGACACAAACAGTCCTCCTTTACATTAACTTCCAGGTTACTGCTTGGCCCGGTTGGGAGTGGGGAGATGGGAGGGGAAAGGGCACAAACCCTAACCCCACCTTGCGAAACCCAGAAAGGCTTACATGGGCCAGCCCCAGCACCTCTTCAGTTACAGAGCGGCGATAAGGGACTGATCTTGAGAAAGGAGCCATTTCTCCAGAATACTCCAGAAGTACAAACACAGCCTCCAAACATTCTATAAAGTGACACACAACACATGCTCTCCCAAAAGTGCAATCCCCTTGCTACAGTAGCCCAAATCTTGGGACTTCATGATCTCTTGGTGGTTATTTATAAGCAAAAATATTTTTAAAGGGGGTTGGGGGGGAGAAGCAGGAGACAAAGGCGGGTTTGCAGAAACCTGTGCACCTCCGGAATGACTGAAAGGCGCTTCTGGGCAGGAGAAGGCCAGGCGGTCGTGCCCTCACGTGTTCCAATCCCCGCTGGCCAGCTAACAGGGTACAAAGCAATTTCTCTCCTCTCAGCCTGGCAGCCACAACTCGGGACAGAAAAGGAAAGGCACGCCACACCCACGGGTGTCCGCAGCTGCTTTTGCCTATCCCGTACTTATAAGTAGGACGGGGGTGGAGGGCTGGGGAGGGGGGGAGTCGCCCATTGCTTCCTAAGTCCTACAGATTCCCCAAAACTGCCCGCAGAGGCTGGTTTCCTGAGGTTGCAACTTGAACTGCTCTGCTGGGGAGGACTCGGTTGTGAGAGCTCCCGGCAGACACTTGTACACCAATAACGCCGAGTGTCAGGGGCCCGCCGGCGAGCCCTTCCTCTCGGCAGCATTACCCACGCGCGCACCTGCCACCCACTGAAATGCAATGGGAAGGACGCCGAGCCACACAGCAAGCAGCCCAATAAACGCTAAGAGGAAAAGTTGTCTTCAGCTGTGTGGGCGGCCTGCCCTCCCAATAATGGGGAGAGGAGAGAATCCATGAGGACATGATAAACGGGCTCACCTTTGCCTTTTGGGGACAGAGTGCTCCACTTCCAGGAGTTTTCCGTGCAGCTCCACTTTACCTGCGGACACACAGAGGGTGGGAGACGGTTGGCAGGGGGGAGCGGCTCCCCCAGCCCCGAGGACCCTAAGCAGCGACACAGGGGCTCCCTGGGACCCCACGGGCCCCC